GAAGTTGGAGATAACTTCATTGCTTATCTATTTTCTCCTTTGCAATCAAGCTGTTCCTTTAAAAGTGAGACACTACAGAGTTGCAAAAATTTGAAACAGTAAGAGCAAGCATCGTTTCTGCAGCTTCATGGTTGGTTTTGGCCAAACGTTTTATTTAGTATTCTGTAGTTGTTTAACACACACTTAAATGGTCTTACTAGGGGAGGGGAATAAGGGAGGTTCTTGTAGATTCCCAAGGAAATGTCAGAAAAGCAAAATATGGCCAGCATCCATTTGCTTTTTGGGGTTTCTGGGCAAGTAGCACATTCTTAGGCATCTAGGTTTTTTTTTATACTGTCATCATTGAGATTTCAGTTGGAAGACATCCTGAGATCCTGAAATCCTAAGAGGAGCACACCCAACCAACCCACTCTACCAGCTAGCTTGTCTGCAAAGGCAGGCAGGGCGATTCATTGCTCAGCAGAACAAAGGCCATCTAGATGGCTTAGGTTTGTGGAAAATCTTAGGATTGCTTTTCTCGGTTACTGAGAAAAATCAGGAGTGGCCTTCAGGGACACGTTTACTTGAAAAATCACAACACTAGTACAAGTCAAGGCTTACACATTTAACAATTGCTTGTTGAAAGCAACTCATAATATCAAATAAAATTAAACACGTCTTACGTTTTTCCTCACAAGAACATAAAAATTATTAAGGGGAACAGGAAATTTTAAAAAGGTAACACAATTTTTCCTTTTAGTAGTCCTTGGGTACTTTATGACAGAAAGGTTCCATTTTTGTTTGTTTCCTTGAATGGGGACTTTTGGTCCAAAAGTTTTGTTTGTTCCTAGTATCTGCTTCTGCCTCCCCCTCTATCAGATCGGCTTCCTCCACGGCCACCACCTCTTGGTGCTCCGCGGCTTGAACTGCTGTAGGAATCACGTGGAGGAGGGTAGCCCCTTTCCATAGAAGGGGGAAGCCCTCGTTCTTGTCTGCCAACGCGATCACGACCACTTGAGTAGAGATCACTTCGGCTGCTTGAGTAACTGTCTCGACTTCCACCATATCCGTCACGTGAGCTGCTGTAATCATCATAGCGACTGCTTCCACCATAAGATGGCGGGGGCCCTCGTGTAGGTGGAGCACTACGTGAGTTACCTGCAGGGTCAATGGTCAGGTAATATGGCAACACTATAAATTGTATATATACAACATTTAAATCTGAATTTACAGAATTCTTGTATTATAAGTTTACTTTCTCAACTGGGAAGTTTTAAACTGTACCATTGCTGGCCATAAGAGGGAACTGCTCATCTGCTGAGATACGGAAATGGATTGAGTTTAATGTTTGTTTGAAAAGACTGAAGACGTTGTGTATTTCAAGAGGATATTCCAGACAGCTTGTTATTTTATAGTAGACACTCAGCCACTTTCCAGTGATAAGTTGCAATTTTGAACTGTTGAGTTTCCTTCATATTGCAATGATAAATATTTGATCTTGTTAATAATTTTTTTAAAAAATTGTATTTTCACTGTTGAGGGAAAACACATAAGGCTGCCAATTTCAGCAAGCAAAATCCCCTCCAAAGCAAGCGAACAGCCTCAAACGAAAAGAAACAAAAACGAAACAAGGAAAGAACCAAAAAGTCCTTCACAAAACTAGGAAAAAGCCCAGCTGATAAAGTTACCCCTTGAAAGCAAGCAAAGGTCCCTTTAAAAGCAAGCACCACGCAGCCTATTAATCCAGCTCATGAACCTAAAACCTCAAGCTGGTGATATTTAAGATCCTTAACCAGTATCTTACCATAACTCTCATATGAATCTCTGTAGGACCCTCCACTTGGATGATCTGAATAGTCACGATCCCGGCCATATCCATCTCTATCACTAAATAAAAAGCAATTTTAATATATATATATATATATATATATATATATATATATATATATATATATATATATATATTTCCCCTAAGTTACATGTTTATTTTATAATAAAATGTAATAAATACACTTTAAAAATTCCCCCAAATCCTTAAAAAGTAGAACTGTCAAATCTGTTCATTTTTTAGCTCTCCATAACCATGTGAGCATGAGGAGACATGTTCTTGCCATGATGACCCTGCAGGGGTGAGAAGACAACTTTGGGGCCCTCGTCTCCCCCTTTCACCTTGCCATGGCTTTCAAGGCTGATACTGGCTTGCAGGGCTTACTTGGGAGGTGCTTTTAACAGCCGAGTCACCTGCCAAGCCCTGGAGGCACGAGTTTTACAGCAAATACTTACAAGCCATGCAAGTAGCTGCTTACCTATAGCCTCTGGATGGGTAGTCATCACGTGAACTGGAATGGCCATAATCACGGTAAGTATAATCTCTTGGTGGTGGTGCATAATCTCTTGCATCACGAGAACTTGGATAGTCTCTGCTTGAATAGCTACAGAAAGAGAATTTGGTTTATGCCTCTGACGTGCTCTCATCCAACACTAATTCTTCACAAAAGAAACTGCACTGTCTGTCTGTTACCTGTCTTTAGTGGAATATCCATCATCTCTTGGGGACAAATAAACATCTCTGCGAGAGGGAAGGGGCTCCCTTCGTGGCAGGCCTCCATAACTATCTCTTCCACGTGACATGGGGGCTTAAAGGAGAAAAAACATTATCAAAATCTAGCCATCAAAAAACTGAAGTGTGAATGTTACACTCAGGCTGGACAAGACAGCGGTTTAATCAAATACCCTATGTAGCTAAAACAGGAAGCTTCCTAGTCACATAATTTCAATACTCATTAATTATGAATATGAGATTAATTGGAATCCACAAATCAGTCTTAAGCATAAGCATTAAAAATATTCATGTGTGTACGGTGGGGGAATATGCACGCTCTGATGCAAATGCAGTCCAGAGGACAGACAACTCGTCTCAGTTTTGCCTGTGAATGGGGGATTGGATTCAAGTTCTTGCGCCTGACTAGCAGCAAATGTTTTTACCCACTGAGCTTTCTCACTGGCCAAGCATTTAAAACAACAAAAATAAAAAACAGGGTCTCCCCATGTAGGTCTTGAATTCATGTCAATCCTATCTTCTCCAGTGCTAAGACTGGACATTCACCACCATGCCCGGCCTCAGCATAGTGCCATGGGGGCAGCACAGATTGCAATGCATCCAACAATTACCTCTTCCTCCAAGCCCACTGCTGCTACGAACTGGCCCTGAAGGTGCTGATCTTTTAGGGGGAGGAGCCCCGCTTCGTGGTGGTGGTGGTGGTGGTCCTCTTTTAACTGGAAGAGGTCCCCTCGAAGAACTCATGGGAAAATTCATGGAATAGCCACCATCATCTATATTAGATGAGAAAGACATTTCATTAACACAATAGTCAAGAACAAACCATTAACACTCAAGAAGACTAAGAACTATTTGCCCCACAGAAAAAAACACAACGAATTATGTGCGTCATTTTCTTTTCTTTTTTGGTTTTCCGAGACAGGGTTTCTCTCTAGCTTTGGAGCCTGTCCTGGAACTAGCTCTTTTTAGACCAGGTTGGCCTCGAACTCAGAGATCCACCATCTCTGCCTCCCAAGTGCTGGGCTTAAAGGCAGGTGCCACCACTGCCCAGCAAACACCTTTTCTGCTTAGTTGGGGAGGCTAGGTTTGTTTTCCATTGGGCAAGATCAAGCATGACAAGAGTTCAGGACCAGCCTGAACTAATTAATAAGGGAGACACTGTTTCCGAAATCCAGACGTCCTACAGACTAGGAAAAGAAGTCCCAATCCTGCTCGTCATTCTTTTTTTTTTCCCTTAAGTAAGACTATTTGGCCCATAGGTTTAACTCTAATTCAGGCCTCCCATATTTTCAAGTCATCAACACTACACTTACACTAATAACGGAGTGAGCAGGCTCCATTTCAAAGGCAGCTCTCAGCCTGTGGGTTGTAATCTTAGCAGTCCAACAACCCTTTCACAGTGGTGACATATCAGATATTCTGTATATCAGATAGTTACATTACAACGCGCAACAGTAGCAAAATTAGTTACAAAGTAGCAATTAAATAACGGTATGGTGTGTGTGGGGGGGGAGGTCACCACAACATGAGTAACTGTATTTAAGGGTCTCAGCATTAGGAAGGTTGAGAACTACTATTTCAGCCTTTCAAAAAGAAAGACCCAGGTGTGGGTCTCCAGCTTTCAACTTAAATACCAAGCCTGAGTTCCAATCAAATCATTACCCATGTGTCCTCCACGTGAGGGGGGTCCTCTAGTTCCTCCGCTTCCTCCTCTTCCTCCTCGAAGACCTCTGGGAGGGCCTCTGCTTCTTGGAGGTGGAGGTAGTCCACGCCTACTACTTTCAAATGATGGTTTGGTGGCTTGCTCCACCTTGATGGCTTTTCCATCTAAGGACTATTTTTTAAAAAAAAAACAAACAAAAAAACAAATATAAATTTTATCATGATTTAGAAGAAACTGAGAAACTCTTGTTAGGCATATAATGCTTCCCACTTGCTACAAACTTTGGTTGTGGACTCACAATAAAAGTCACAATAGAGACTTGGTCTTTTGTTCTAGCACTCAGGAGGCAGAAGCAGGAGGACCCGAGTTTGAGGTCAGCCTGGTCTATATAGCCAAGACTACGGAGACACCCCCTCCACTCCACTTACTGAACAAAAAAACAATACAATACAATTCAGGATAGTACTACTAATGGCTACGATCAAGTCTCTGGCTATACACACACAAAATGAAAATTCCAAAGCTGCTCTGGACCCATGCTTGGACAATAGTATTTTTGTCACTAGGAAATTAGTTATTGTTGTCACCATGAAACCCCTTTTTATTAAGAGACAACCACACCTTTCCATTCATATCTCTGGCAGCATCCTTTGCGTCTGCTGGGCTTTCGAATGTGACAAAAGCAAATCCTCTTGACTTGTTGGTTTCTCGGTCCTTCATCAAAAGCACTAAAACAGTTGGAGGGGGGAGGCGGTGAGTTTCCTTCAAACCAAATCACCGGAGCAACTTTAAAAAAGCAAGCTCAGAACTTCTTAGAGGACAAAACACATTATCATGTCAGGTCATCATCAGTCGATTCAAATTCATCACAGCTTGTCTTCTCATTATAAAAATATAGCGTATAATTTTAGATAACTCACCTTCCACTATCCGTCCATATTTGCCAAATACTGCTTCAAGGGCTTTCTCATTTGTCTCTGTATTGAGCCCACCAATAAAGAGCTTTCCTGGGCGATCTGCTTCAACCATTTTCCCTTCCAACCGATAGGAGGCTGCTGAAAAATAATATTATCATCTCTGGAGAAAGTTCCCTATGTTTACTCAACAGCTTAATCGTGGCTCGGGCTTTATTAAAACCTTTATTCCTTCGTAACTAAAGACTCCGATAACCCGCCAGAACAGTAGAAAACCAACTGAAAGCCGGGCGGTGGTGGCGCACGCCTTTAATCCCAGCACTCGGGAGGCAGAGGCAGGCGGATCTCTGTGAGTTCGAGACCAGCCTGGTCTACAAGAGCTAGTTCCAGGACAGGCTCCAAAACCACAGAGAAACCCTGTCTTGAAAAACAAACAAAAAAAAAAACAAAAAAAAAAAAGAAAGAAAGAAAACCAACTGAAATACTTTTGGTTAACAGTGCAGTGAAGTTTTCTTTAACCAGCTTAAAGGGGCCTGCCTAATTAGCCAATCCTCTTTCTCTGCTGGGGCCACTTTTAGTTAAGGAACTGCTTTTCAACACCTGAAAAGGCAACTTTTACTTTTAAATGTATTTTACTTTATACAAGGTTGCAGCCTTAAGAGTGCCAGAAGTTGGCCACCACACCCGCCTATTGTATTCATTTGTTATCTTCTAAACATTCCGTTACTTGTCACCCTACTTGCTTCCCCCTCCGCGAAGGGTGTAAAAGACTTCCTATTCATTCAAGGTCATCAGCCTGCAGCGCTAAGTGACGACCAAGCCCTTTTCTCGTTTACATTTCCTAGTAAGTTTCCGCGCAAAACTCCCAAGTTAGAACAAAGTCGCTGCAACTAACCCAACAAAGGATTGCTATCAGATTGAAAAGATAAAAGGTGCGGGAGTCACAAGATGAGGGAAATCAAAATCACACACTGTTAACACTCTTTCCCTGTGCTGGCACCTAATTAAGACTCATTAAAAACCGCGTGTTAAAGACAAAATGGCGACACTTGGATACAACCCAAAAACTCCAAACAACCGCCGGACAAACTAACTTTTGCCACTGACAGTGGCGGCGAAAACTCCAAATGCTTCCTCTCCTTACGCCAGGACCAGAGAAGTTGCAGAGAAGTCCACCAGCCCATCCTTGGCACAGGCGCTGTCCAGGTGCTAGCTCCAAGGTCCCTCCGCTTCCCGCCCCACTTCCAAAGCTGCTCGCGGCGCCCTCCGCCCTCAGGCGACAGCCAAACCTCCCACAGACGCGCGCACGCAAGATAATGGACCCCCTAGTGTGCTACTTCCACCCTGTCGGCTTTAAATAGGCTTGCACCTTTGGGCGTCTTAAAATGGCGCCCGCCACCACTATCTCCGGGGAAACAAATGATCTCGAGCCCTAAGGTGACAAGGACTGTACGGAAAACCGGGCAAAGGAAGGAGGCTCCTACCCGAGGGGACGGCGACGTTTCAAGCTCCTACGAGCTCGCCGATGGAGCCTTCCAGCAGCGCAGAGCCAGTGACAGCTGACAGCTGCCTATTCTCAAAACGGAACAGAAATGACGCTAGGACTGCTGCGCAAGGAGGGCGAACAAAGGAGACAGCAATCTTTATACTACCCGGGAACGAGGCTGAAGAACCCGGATGGAAATTAAGCTTAGAATTTGAAGCACGGAGGGAGGGAGGGGAGTGGTTCCCAGACTCTTCATTGGCTGTCTCCTGCATCACTCACTGTTTGCTCCACCTCTTTCCTGTGTCTCTTAAAGTTCTTGCTGGTGTGCAATTTTAACCATTTGCCCTGCCCCCACCCATTCTTCTCCACGGCGTCTTTTGGCTCTCTGCTAAAACGGTGCACCGGATTTATTGAATCCGTATTGAGCGACTTAGTACGCCAAGCATGGCACAAAACTTTTGCATAACATCTTAATTCCAAAAGTAATGTGAAAATGGTAGATAATACAATGCCAATGTAGTAGAAATAGCAAACAAAGAAGTTTAGTTGCTACCCTATAACTGCCCAAATTTTCTTGAGCAATTAACTAATAAATGGAAAGAATCTGGTAAGTAAATGTTAGGTCAAAGCAACTGGAATGGCACAGAAAAACCGTCCATACAGAACAATTACTGACTACCTATTAGATCTATATACAACCGAGAACAAGTAAGAATAGGCTAGGGTGCCTCAGAGACTGCCAAATGAAAATGCGCAATGATAGCCAGGTGCTGTCCCATGTCTTTAACCTCAGAACTCAGGACGCAGAAATAGGGCATCTATGAAGCTATGAGTTCCATAACAACCTGGATTCGTTAGATGCTGTCTCAAAAATGCCGGCAAAACAAAAAACAAAAGCAGGAAAAGAATGCTACTAGTTGGCCGGGCAGTGGGGGTGCACGCCTTTAATCCCAGTGCTCCGGAGGCAGAGGCAGGAGGATCTTTGTGAGTTCGAGGTCAGCCTGGTCTACAAGAGCTAGTTCCAGGACAGGCACCAAAAACTACAGAGAGGCCGGGCGGTGGTGGTGCTCGCCTTTAATCCCAGCACTCGGGAGGCAGAGGCAGGCGGATCTCTGTGAGTTCGTTCCAGGAGAGGAATCAAAAGCTACGGAGAAACCCTGTCTCAAAAAATCAAAAAACAAAACAAAACAAAACAGAGAAACCCTGTCACAAAAATAAAAAAAAAAGAATGCTACTAGTTATATTTGAACTTCAAGTGAGCATTCATAATTTGTGTTTTGAGAGAGTCTCAATCAGACTGAGGCTGGTCTTGGAACTCACAGCAGTCCTCCTGCCTCAAATTCCCAAGTACTGGGGTTACAGGCATAAACTACCATAGCAGGTTCTGATTCTAAGCTTTTATATGCCTTGTGGAGGGAAAAATACATTTTAAACCCCCCTTTGAGTCAGGGAAATTCCTTTTTTTTTCTCCCTCCTCTCACCCTGTCCCTGAACAGCGTTTCTCTGTGTAACAGCCCTGGCTGTCCTGGAACTTGTTCTGTAGACCCAGCTGACCTCAATCTCAAAGATTCACCTGCCTCTGCCTCTGAGTGCTGGGATTAAAGGACCTATGCCACTACCGCTCAGCTGGTGAGGGTGTTTTAATTTCCTTACAAATTAAAAATTTCACCCTGGTGTGGTGGCTCATACTTTTAAACCCCGCACTTGGGAAGTAGAGGCAGGTGGATGTGTGAGTTTGAGGCCAACCTGATCTACAGAGCAATTTCAATGATAGCTAGGGCTTAGTGAGACCCTGTCTCAAAACAAATCAAAATCAAACAAATAAAACCCCAATTAACAAATAGAACGAATGATCGTATATTGGGGCTAGTGCCAAGGGAAAGTAAACTGCATGGCTTTAGTGAACAACATTAGAGAAGAAATTTGATCAACACATCAGAAAAGCAGGTTGCAGTGGCTCATGTCTGTCATCCCTAGGCTCACTAGGCTGAGGTAAGAGCATGATCACCAGTAAGGCTACATAAAGACCTCAGTCTGCCTCTGAAGTCAGAACCAAAAGCCAATCAGGGAAGATATATATACTGAAAAAGAGAACTGAAGATCACTGATAAAGAAAAATATCCAGGTCTTCTTTTTGGTTCCATTGGTCCTCCTGTCTGTTATTATGCCAATGCCAGGCTGTTTTCAGTACTGTAGCTCTGTAGTAGAGTTTGAAGTCAGGGATTGTGATGCCTCCAGAAGTTCTTTTATTGCACAGGATTGTTTTGGCTATCCTGGGTTTTTTTGCTTTTCAAAATGAAGTTGAGTACCGTTCTTTCGAGGTCTTTGAAGAATTTTGCTGGGATTTTGATGGGCATTGCGTTGAATCTGTAGATTGCTTTTTTGTAAGATTGCCATTTTTACTATGTTAATTCTGCCTATCGAAGAGCACTGGAGGTCTTTCCACTTTCTGGTGTCTTCTTCAATTTCTTTCTTCAAAGATTTGATCCTACTGCACGTACTGGCTTTGTGGGAGCCTAGGCAGTTTGAATGCTCACCTTACGAGACCTGGATAGAGGTGGGCAGTCCTTGGGCTTCCCACAGGTCAGGGAACCCTGATTGCTCTTCGAGCAGATGGGGGGGGGGGACTTGATCGGGGGAGGGGGAGGGAAATGGGAAGCGGTTGTGGGGACGAGGCAGAAATCCTTAATAAATAAATAAATTAAAAAAAAAAAGATTAAAAGTTCTTGTTATGCAAGTCTTCCACTTGTTTGGTTAGAGTTACTCCGAGATATTTTATGCTATTTGTGGCTATTGTGAAGGGTGTTGATTTTCTGATTTCTTCCCCAGCCCTTCCCTTTTATCATCTGTGTACAGGAAGGCTACTGATTTTTTTTTTTTTTTTTTTTTTTTTTTTTTAGTTTTTCAAGACAGGGTTTCTCTGTAGCTTTGAAGACTGTCCTGGCACTAGCTCTTGTAGACCAGGCTGGCCTCGGTCTCACAGAGATCCACCTGCCTCTGCCTCCCGAGTGCTGGGATTAAAGGCGTGCACCACCACCACCCGGCTTGATTTTTTTTTTAGTTAAATTTGTATCCTGCTACATGGCTGAAAGTGTTTATGAGTTGTAGAAGTTCTTTGGTAGAATTTTTGGGATCACTTATGTAAACTATCATATCATCCACAAACAGTGAGAGTTTGACTTCTTCTTTTCCAATTTGTATCCTCTTGATCTCCCTTTGGTGTGTTATTGCTCTAGCTAAGACCTCAAGAACTGCCGGGCGATGGTGGTGCACGCCTTTAATCCCAGCACTCGGGAGGCAGAGGCAGGCGGATCTCTGTGAGTTCGAGACCAGGCTGGTCTACAGAGCTAGTTCCAGGACAGGCTCCAAAGCCACAGAGAAACCCTGTCTCGAAAAACCAAAAAAACAAAACAAAACAAAAAAGACCTCAAGAACTATATTGAATAGATATGGAGAGAGTGGCCTTGTCTTGT